CACTGCGTCCTCGTTCGAAGGTGAAATGGAAGAGCTTGTAATAGGAGAAGATACGCCGGTCTCCTTCTGGAATTTCATCGACGGCGAAAATAACGACAAGATTGCCATGGAAAGGGACAAATTGATCAACTTCCAACCCAGTACCGGTTACAGATTCGACAAACACGGATACGCTATCTTAAGCAAGAGAGATTTCCAGATTTCACCGGACAGCAGAAAATTCAGCATTAAATTAAACTTGAAGACGTTCGCGGAAAATGGGCTGATTTACCTAATGGGTAAAGGCAAACAGTTCCTGGCTTTGGAAATGAGAGACGGTCACGTAATCTATCAGTACGATCTCGGGGAAGGTGGAACCAGCTTGAAATCCTGGAACAAGTACAACGATGGAAACTGGCACAACCTGGAAGCTCTCAGGTTCGAGAAGACCGGCGTTCTAAAGATGGACGGCGTGGATGTGGTGAAAGGCAAAGCGGAAGGAAATACTAAGAACTTGGTGTCTTCGGATAACATTTATTTCGGAGGATATCCACCGAATGCTAAACATCCCTATGAGCCTGTGACTAACGAAGGTTTCGAAGGTTGCATCGACGATGTGGTTATTCTAGATACCATAGTCGATCTGACTCGCAACATTCAGGCATTTGGTGTGGTTCCTGCCTGTCCAGTACGGGTAATGTAACATTTGTAAAACTATTCGAATCGATGATCTTGCGGTTAGTTTAACAAATTATAAAACGATGCACAAACCGATCAATTTGTTTATCGTTGTTTAATGTTCCGTGCTGTCTGGCCGTGTTAATTGAAAACCTAGCAGTCGTTTTGCTTTGGTTACATGATATTTTGCTTTTTTCTTTAGTTCGTAAGCTTGGTATCTTTCGAGGAGAACGTATCCGGCTATGTAAGATGGCACAACATCTCCGTGCCGAACAGTCTTCAAGTGAACCTGAAGTTCAAGACTTTGGCGAACGACGGCTTGATCTTCTACGTGACCGATCATGAGAAAGGTGTAGTTAGCTATTTGTCGCTCATCGACGGTGTTCTCGTCTTCAATAGTCAGGGCCAGGAATTACGAACAACATCCACGGGCATCAAGTTCAACGACAACGAGTGGCACGTAGTCACGGCTACGCACTCGACCGATTCTCTCAAGCTCGACATCGACGATATTAAGAATTACAGTACCGATCTAGATGCACCCCTACTGAACATACCTTATGGCAGTTTGTATATCGGTGGTTTACCGGCTGCCTTTGGTATCCCTCCGACTGGCGCGATGACGCCGTTTATCGGTTGTATCGGAGATGCAACGTTGAACGGTGTCATCGTTAATTTCGCCAACACGACAGAAAGGCCTCACGCTCTCCTTGGAAAGTGCAAGCTGGGTGATCCATCGTGTAAGCAATTGACGTTTTTCAAATGATAAATAAGCTGAAACTTTCGAAGCGTTAAATTAATACACATAAATATATCTACATACATGGTACAGCTGCACCATCTAAACCCGAATCAGAACCGAACGTCCCGCCTCCTCTGTTGCCCACGGAAAGTCCAGACGACAACGTCGAAGTATCTACCCAGATTAGTGAGTACGATGTTACAAGTAATAACATGAATAATGAGTACGACGAGGAGTCTAGTCGAGGAATCTAATCTGTAACTTACTACTCGATATTGTTAGACATCATCGACGTTGATATCGATAAGGAAACGGACGAGGAAGAACCTACGATAGAGGGACGAGGCCATCATCACGATGATTTCGTTACAACCACAGAGGCTACTACTTCCACTCAAAGAACCACACCGTTGCACATCGACGAATGTCGATTACCATATTACCCGGCTATAGATCCTGACATGGAAAATGCCTGGCGTTTCGGTACGATATTTCCGCGCGATTTTGAAAAATATACGAAACGAGGAATTTCGGTGAAAGAATGGCATCGTTTTCAGGTACTGCGAGAAACAGCAGATTAGAATACAGATCTCTAAACGGCAGATACAAGAACGACTACGATTTCCAAATCGCTATCAAAACGATGGCCGACGAAGGAATCATTTTCTATACGTCGGACCTTGCCAATCAGAATTTGATCGCTGTGTATATCAACGAAGGAAAGGTAAAGTGTCGATGTTCGATAAAATATCTGACATCGATCGCAATGTCAGGTAATTGGTATTGATTCGGAAACATATACTCGAGATAAAGCCGTTTTTCTCTATTGCAACATCAATAACAATTTTTATCAGCTACTTTTACGTGTAAACAAGTTTAGAAAATTCGAATCGATCGCAATTTGAATTACATTATGTCTAATCGTCATATATTTTTTTTAAGATTTATTACAAATTTGATTGTGGAAGCGGACCAGCTATATTAGTCAGCAATAGAAAAATAAACGACGATGAATGGCACATCGTAATATTTAAAAGACAAGGAAACCATGGACAGCTTATCGTAGACGAAGATGATGCAGTTACCGGATCTTCTCAAGGAACAACGGAAACCATGAATGTTAGCCCGCCGTTCTACGTAGGAGGGGTGTCACAGGACATGTCCAACAAAGTTCTTAATACGATCGTAAGTAAATATCATCTACCTGATAAACGTTGAACCTATTTTACTTGATTTCTTTCCTCTTTAATGAGAGTTTGGTTATTAATTTCAGAGTATGAATCACACCTTCAATGGATGCCTAGGAAACTTCATGGTAAATGGTCAACCAGTTGGTGAGCCTATAAATAAAGTGGGTGTAATTCCATGTTCAAAACGAATCGAACCTGGATTGTTCTTCTATCCGGGTAATGGTAGTAATCTGTTCAGAGCAGGTACATATAGTACAGTTTTAAATAATCGACTATACATTGATGGAATTTTGTAGGACGAATTCTAATTCTACAATACAATTTTAGTGGACAGGTTCACAGTTGGCAGAACAGTCGACATCCAAATGGACATTAAACCACGTTCCACTTCTGGTCACCTGCTATCTGTCCATGGAAAACGGGATTACTTGGTCCTAGAAATGATTAACGGAACGGTGAAGTTCCTTGTTAAAACGGCAAAAGGTTCGATAGAAACTTCGTTTGAACCAACGAAGCCGAATTCCTTGTGCGATGGCAATTGGCACAATATTCGAGGTAATATTTCATTTTTATCTCGATAAAAAAAGGATAAAGAAAGTGAATAACTTTTTGTCGTTTCTTTTGCACAGCTGTTAAACAGAAGAATGCCGTGCTCTTATCGGTTGACTACAAAGCAGCTGAGCCAGGAATCGGCGGGAAAAATGTGGCGGGAGTTCTATCGAAGCATCCGATCTTCATCGGTGGTCATCCGATGCTTGGAAAAAGATTACGTGGAAGTAGCTCGCAAGCACAATACGTGGGGTGTATTAGAAACATTCAAATCAATATGAGAGCTATCCAAATGAGCCCCGAACGTGCTTACGGACAAGTCCTCGCGGGAGTATGCCCAACGATATAAGAATCTCCAAGAACGTCGTTTAAAAGTGCACTTAAAATCAATTAACGTAACGTTGCCACTCTTTTTTTGCAACCATCTGCCAATCAATTTTCAAATGATGTTTTTTAACCAAAAAAAGAATGACTTATATATACAACGTTATATGATGCCAGTTCATTTTTTAAATAAGAAATGTTTATTCTAGAATTTTAAGTATTTAAGATAATTGTTCGAGAATAATGGGGAATAAATTAAACATCATCGGACATAAACAGCCATATCTCAGGGCCTAGCCACCACCGATGTATTCAAATTTTCGAGGGTACTACTGAACAATCGTAATATGCCTTCTAATACAGATTCTCGAGAAATATCATGCAAAAGAATAAAATTTTCAATAAGCGTACAATCTCGTTCGAATACACATAAGACTGAACGTCGTTTTTTCCACTTTTTTACGGTGGTAAATAAAGCTACGTATTCCCCACTACGCATCCATCGACGTTTATTTAAACATCCGAGTAAGCTATTTTACCATAATTCATATTAGGCGAATTACAAGTTTCTTACAAGAAAAAAAAAAAAAAAAGAAAACGAAGAAAACGAAGTGATAACGATATACTTATACAGAAGGTATTGTAATACACAACCAAAGAAAACTATTTTATACCATAATGAAAATTATAAAAAGTTCTGTGCTATTGATAAAGAAACTTTGTGACTTTTCTGTAAACATAAAGACATTTAGAGAAATGAAGACGCTAAATAAAGAAAATAACATGATTAAGAAATATATTTGCAAAATAATTTTCTACTCTTTAAGTGCTCCTTCTAATTCGCCTTTTAAATTCTGTCGCATTCTCCTCGACGATATGCCGACAGTGGAGCCCGAAGATTCTATAGCATTGTAATACGCGCGAACATACTATCAAATAAACGATACTATACCAAATGACTTGAAATACGTAAAACGAAATTTATTATGACAACTACCAAACTGTATATAAAATTTCTCACAATTCCCGAGTACACACGTTGAAGAAGACTGAGAAAAGAATGATTTTCAACATTTAATCCGTTGAGCGTTGACCGTGTAAAACGTTAATGTATTGTAAAGATACTTCAGCATATTATATTCTTATTTTATAATACGTTTTCTTTTTTTCAGTGTTCGGATTTAATGATTAAACATATAAAAAGTAAAAAGGAAAGGTTCCGTGGAAATCGAAAGTTTTATTACAAAATTATTAAAGGATATGCTAATCACTTGTATTACTCAATATATTAAAATCGTAAGCTTTTTAGGCTATTGGAAAATGTGTTATGTATAGAGGGTAAAATAGAGGGTAAAAAGAATTTATATGTAAAACATAACTCATGATTGACACGTTAAACGTCCAAAGTAAAATATGCAGTATTTCTTGCTGTATCGAAGATAAACGCATCGAGATGAGAAGCCGAGTTATACAAAGGTCTTACATTTGATGGCAGATAACTATCTTATTTTGTAAATATTTGTGCAAAGACAAGAAACTAAAATTTTATTATGTATTTATTTAAAAATAGCTAAGGGATCGAATGCTCTTCATACACTGGTTATTACAAAATCAATTTCAAAAGAGAACAATACTGAGGAAATTCGAAACTGTTAAGTATCGTATACCGTTAGTTCAAACTATTATCTGTGAATTATTCTGTGAAAATAGCATTCTTATCTTGTAAGTTGTAAACGATATATGTATACGACCGTGTTCGCTTAGAGTATAATAATTTATTTAAGCGATCGTTGTATAGCATGTTTATTTCATCGTACGCACTTTTAGATGTTTTATTAAAATCATATAAATAATGTTGAGAGAAGAGAAGAAATTATTCTTCATTCTGACATTTGATATTAATCTTTTAGAACACATTTAAATCTTAATAGTAGCAATTACCATATCGATAATTTCTATACTTTTTGTTTCTTACTTGTCTAAAGCATTATCATAAAACACTTAAAGACTTCTATATATGTAAAAAATTCCCTGAAATAGTTGACAAATAGTTGGTTTATCAGATGTTAAACAAAGAATCGATTTTATAGAAATGTACATGAGATTACTTAGAATAACTAAAAATGATTTACTATTTATCATGCAATTTCAGGAACATTCTCAATGAAATATTATATCACAGTGTAATGATCCAGACATTCAATTAGATTTTTGTATGTGGCAATTGCGTCTGTACAATTGTTTATCACAAAAGGCATGTCGTTTGTTCTTTTCAGTACATTTTGAAAGATATCCTGCAGTAACTGCAGGATGAATTATGCAAATATCCCAATATTTGCACATAAGTACGAAGATATTCCATGCACCTTGAAAGTTAGTCACAGTGAATATAACAAACAACAGAATAGATGAACATCAAATTATCTGGGCATGCACAGTACATTGGTATGAGATTTTATTCTATGCCATGTGCAAAAATCATCACTAGTCCAGGTTCAACCATCATGTCTTCCGGCATATGAGTATTATCACAATAAAGAACTAACACTGCTTGTTTACCAGGGACTCTTTTACAAACATAATTGTCATATTGCCTTCTGGAATTCTGTCTGGTTTCAAGGGAGTTTAAGCCTGGAGGCCATTTCCTTTCGTGACAATTTTCCATTAATTCATCGATCACATGAGGCGGGCAATTATATTCCGATAAAGTTCTCTTTATCATCGTCTACAAAATTACGTTCATTTATTCGTTTACCAGAATTGATTGATTAACATTAATTTATGGAATACGGTACCTGCAACAGTTCATCCGGGGTGGAAATCATTCCTCCCCATCTTGTTACTCTTGCTCTAGGAAGGGTAGCAGACCATCTTACAACTTCGTCTCTTTCCATTTGGTCAGCGATAGCGCGCATTGCTGGATTTGAAACTCTCAATGCTCTCATAAAGTCTTTTAAAAGATGTATTTCCCTCTTGTGTTCATTTATTTGAAGTTGTTGTTCACCTAATTCACGTTTCATATCGGCAAGCTTTTGTTGTTGCGAATGTATAATATTTCTGAGTTCTCTCACACAATTATGATCTTTTAGCTCATTTTTAGGAATAATAAGACTACATCCTTGTTCACAAAGCATCGGTCTCTTGGGATTATATTCACATTGCTCCAAGTGTGACACTAAACTATCGAGCTTAACTATTACTTGACATCCGTACATAATGTTATCACAACTAATACAAAGGCGGGCCAACAGATTCCGAAGAATTCTTGGAACTGCTCTAAGCTGAGCAGATGTAATTGGTGTACGATCCAACGGACAGGTGGGCTGTCTATTTATCCATTCATTAATGCATGTACGACAAAAGGCATGTTCACATACAGGTGCCTGCAACATATTGCTCACCTACCAGTCTTTAAGCCAAACTACACACTTCGTAAGACTTAGTACTATATATAAAAATATATAATGAATACTAAATAATGTCCTAAACACTTACAAAAATTTACAAAATATCATTATATATGTTAATCTTATTCGTTAAAAGAAAAACGGAAGCGATCCGAAACTGATAACAGTTATAAACACTTTGACAGAACGAAAATTACAAAAAGTACAAATGACTGATATTATAAAATATCAAACTTTAAGGAATACTTTCCATTTACTCGATCGTTGTAAATAATACGGTGTGTGAAAACAATCATCAGATGGTCGTACTAAACAATGGAGAGGAGAATAATTATGAAAAAGATGAAAGAAAGACGACAGAAATGTTAGGTTAGTTTTCCGTAAACGCAAAAGTTTGCTTATTGGAAGCATTCTATCGTAAACGAACGAAACAGAAATAATACCTGGACAGGATCCTCCAGAACACCAGAGCATATCGGACAAACAAGTTCCTCGTCAACTTCGCCCTGAAAGCGGTTCACATCGAACCCCATAATGTGAACTAAGTACAGTAACTCGTCTTTGTATGTAGCGACGAGCCTCTCCTGTAAAACTGTGGATCCAGAATCCAGAATCAGAAATTCGATGGCGTACGATGTGAAAGCTTCAGAAGTATACCGTTACTTTCCACAAGCATCGCGCAACATGACAATAGTCGCTTGCAATTAATGTAAATGTATCACAGTATCAATGCATATTATGGTTTTATTTGCCTGAAATTTGATGATTTCACGATATACGATTAATCATTATTATAAATCACCATAGAGCTGGATCGAACCTTTCATTCGGTCACAGAAGGAAACTCGCTTTTTCAATGCGGCAAATTTCGAGGTTCGCAGTTTGAATGATTAAATTAATCGTAAGAAACAACAAGTAATGCAAGATTATGAATTTATTAAATCTTATAAAATCGAACAAACATTAACTTATTTCACATAATGAATTTTGTTATGCAACATGACATAACGAGACATTATAATTGTAATTAAAACAAAAAATGAAAAATCTCAAATTATAATTGATTATGTTTTCGGATTTTATTTAGGTACATTGCATCGCGCTTCATAAGTTGAACACATCCCCATTATTTTTTGAAAGATTTCTATCAGAAGGTAATTTACGCTTATCTGCAAATAAAATATTCCTGATAACGTACAATTAACGTACAAAATCCTCGCAAGTGTAGGTTAATACATTATGATATATAATGATTATAGATATAATATATTACAGCTTTGAAGTGGTCATTTTTCAGTCGCGCGCTTTAATCCTACGATATTTCTTATTATCTACAATGAGATTCCAAATTATCTCAATGAATCGGCAATCTACTTATACGTTATTAAATATTTTGATTAAACAGGAAATAAATCATTTATACGTTGTATCATATTCATTACTATCCATGCTTTATCGCGTCTTTTTTCTAGACACGAAGAATCTAATTTGTGAAATTTATAAAGCACATTTGTATCTTAAAAAATCTCGATTCTATCGAACATGATAAATGCTTCCAGAATTAATCATTAGCGTGTATATTTTGATTGATAAGGCCAGATAGTCGCAAAGAGATAACAGAATTGGAAAAGCGGATCAGTATTGCAGTTAAGAGCGTAGGAACAGGTTCGCTTTAAGAAATCGCGAAGCAGACATGGGCGAGAGGAAACGCTCTATCAAGGAGATACAAGGTATTTGGTTCATATTTTGAAAATCTGTTTGTTTATCTTCGATATTATTCCATAAATTGCTAAATAAAATTAGCTTGAATCTTTTTTCCGAAAAAAAAAAAAGAAAAAATGGAAAGAGATCACTCTTAAGGGCGCAAATTACAAAAATGTCCTAGATTTATTTGAATCTAATTTAATTTTTGGAATGACAGCTGTTTAATTTTAACGTCTAAACGTTTCTGCACCCATCGAGTAAGTAGTAAAAAAATATATCCAACTTATACATATCGAAGCAATTTAAACTTCGATAGCTCAAGTACGCGGTCTAATTAAAAACTGACTCGAGTGTTGTTTAATTATATTGTATGAATATGTAGAAAACATGATGATAAAATTCGATCATGAATTTGATTATGAATTAAATTTTTCCACCTTGAATTAAACATGTTACATATGTAGTTATATTTTCCTCAAAATTATGAAACAATTGACAAGCCGTAATGCGATATTTGACAGGACAACCTAGGTCAAATCGTTTTACTTTTGATTTGGTTGAATGTTTGATTAAAGCGTGACCCAATTCGAGAACGATAAATTACTACAGCGGCCCTTAAATATTAATATAACAGATTGGTATAACAGATTATATTTCATTGGCGTTGTTCGCGATATGCTAACAATAAGCAGTATTTAAATCTCGTTAAATCGTCGTAACGCAAAATGTTAACAAGTGGATGATCGATTCTCTCTGAAGGCGATCCTTCGATCCTTTCTGCTTGTTTAATTAAATTCAATGTGCGTCAAAGTGTCAACATTATTTACGTATAAAGTTGTTGCATCATCGTATTAAAAAATGCGATTTTCAAGAAGCGTCGTCCGCAGTGGTAGAAACCTCACTTCTACACGCGAAGGACGACGTGTTATAAAACGAGTAACTGTAGAGGGAATTACGCTATCAGATTATTGAAATTGAAAGAAAGTAGATGAAATGGAAAAAGAAATACCAGTAAAAGGATAATTTTTGCTGGGAAAAATAAATGGATACAGCTAGAAACGCACGTGAATGGTGGTACGCTGAAATCGGGATGGGTAGTAGAAGAAACGTGTAATTGTGTCGTACGAGTGTGTTATCAAATTTATTTTTTTCCACCATTTATGGTTTTCAGATTATCCGGACAATGAGAGTAACACGGAGGAAAATCAAAAGGTAAATATCGAATGTTGTTGCTTATCGACATCGAGAAACGATAAAAGTATCATCTTCCTATTTGATATAGTATAGTGATGAATTAACGATATAATTGAATATCGTTACGAATCACCGATTTATACCCATGATAAATCGTCAGTATTTAGTAGACCACAATTATCTATAATTCAAAGTTAATACCTAATTGCTTTTGTACAATTCGTTTGTTATACAATAGAAGATAAAATGGGGTCGCGGTAAATTAGGATGCTCGATTGCTCAATGGTCCTAACGATAGATTATACGATTCGTCTTAATTAACCAGCAGGTTATATTCAAATTCCGTCGACGTACATTGTGTCGATCGATTGTTATTATTACGCTTTCACTCGCGTGGAGTACCAGTGATCAGCCTTGCGTAACATTGAAAAACGGAAACGCAAGTTTAAGTGGGAATTTCCTTAAGCGATAAACCCGTTCTTCGGAAACCGTGCTTCGTGTTCTGTTTCACCGGCAATACGAAAAATCACTTAAGTAATAAAATCGGCAAGGACTAAGAATAATCTGCGCGTAAATTATGTACACTTGCCCAACTGCGAATACTTTCACCGAGTTAATTGAACTTTATACATATAGGGAGGGATATCACAGAGAATTAAAATTCCTTTGTGGCAAAACATTACGTTTAACCATTACTTACCAGTACTTTATTCGAAGAAAAGAACTTGGCATAATGTCGGTCAATGACGGGGATTGTGACTTTAAAGTAAACGCATCGCGAGATAAACTTGTCCAATATCGTAAGACACGCCTCTGCAAAATGGACCAGTTTAGCGAAATAATGTCATGGTATCTTAAACAGAAATCGAGATCAGATTTCACTTTTCTTTTGTATCGAAACGTTTGCCTTCCGTCCGTCAAAATTCGTTAATTTAAGTATTTTTCTTACTTAAATTCCTGAGAAACTCGTTGTTATCGCTTAAAGTAGCAAAAGTGTATAATTGTTTCTCGGTCGAGATATCGCTGATTAGTAATCTTGATAATTAAATTTACGTTTAAACGTATAGATCACTTTTTATTTATCGTTTATCTCGAAGAATGAAAATCAGACGTTGGAAAGAATTGTCTTACGCCGTTTTTGCGCTAATACTGCTGTTGTTGCGCGTTCCTTAGTTTGACGTATTACACGAAAAGCTTCTTTTACTTTACGATACGATATAGAAGATTAAGCATTTAATCTACCCAGTTAATGATATCTTACCGATGCGTAGTAGTGGATAAATGTTTTAATAAATCAACGTTTTATATATAATTAGTTCACAACGTAGCCGTTTAATGCTCGATGGTAATAAAAAATTGCGTACGTCGTGCTTGCTGTTATTCCTCTTACGACGTTTCCTGTCACTGTTCTAACAAGTTTGCGAAAATAAATGTACCATTGCAGTGTTTCGTTGGAAATGTTATTTGTACGCGATACCGTTAAGGTGTAGCGTAAGATGTTAACCGCGCATCAAAAGAAGACTTTCACATTGTTCCAAGTATGCGAGACGGCGAGTATACCACTACCTAACAATGTTCGTCAATGCCATCGTCGGACTTAATCGTAGTGCCTACATATTGTAGATACGCGACAAAATCAACAGTGCAGCTTCAACTACCAACCGCGTCGTACGTTGATCGTGCTGAGAAATATCGATCTAGGTATCACGGTTCACTGGTGATCTACACACTGTAATTCGTGTCCCTCGCGAATGGAAAGGTGTTTTCAATCGATACTGCTTTCCAGAATTCTTCGGCTGTCATGTAACGTGTCTCAATATGTTATTTCAGCGTAAAACTTACTCGAGTGTCTCGTTCAAATTTTAGCAGAATTCACGTAGTTAACGTAGATCATTAACTCGACCATCACGATGACTACTGAGAAGGAGGAGAAAGCGAAGGTAGAAATTTTACGTGAATATCGCTTATTTTATTTCGACAAGATTACGAGGATTTATATATAGAAGATATAGTTGATATAGTTTTAACCAGTTGACTGGAATTGATAGAAATTTGACGATGAAGCAACATATCGACCGCTGAATAAATTGCAGTTTTACTTGGATCACTCTCCGCGATATTTTTCGCACTAGTATTAAACCATATGTAACCTTTTGTAACCTTGTGAAAAAGAAACTTGCTCTTTTCATTACATAGAAACATAGTACATAGAAAATCGTTAATATAACGAAACAACGTAGAAAGATTTATATAGTTTGCTATAACATTTTTATCAGCTTTAACATTTTTAACATAGTTTCCGATGCATAATATGTTACGAATAATAAAGATAATAACAGATGTTATCGGTTACTCAACAATGAGTACAAGTAAGTTTCGCAATTCAGAATTCGCGGTCCTCTTATCAATGTTATCGTAATGGCACAAATCTTCAAGAATTTCCTTTATCTTATGTAGTGCGTAAACTAGCGCGATTAATGAAAATTAAACTGGCTAAGTCATTGTTGTTAACATAACATTTATTTTCATTATCGAACGTATTGTTTTTTTCGCCAATTGATTAAGTTAGTTTTTCTTTTTCCTTGTAAAAGGATAACGACAAATCTAATCTAAGTGCGAGTCGTTCATCGCGTCTAATTTGAAGTCGCAATTCATTAAAAAAGTAGTTAACTTCTTATCACTTCCAATTGTCCTGTTAAAACTCGGTTAGATCCAGTAAAGCAAACTTTTCAATAAGTAAAAAAAGACGTCCGTTTTGTAGTTTTCTTTGGCATATTTTTAATTTAATATATTTTTTAATAAGAATTTACATTTTACATACTCGATTATACGTTGGTACGGAACTCATATGTAACAAAACGATGTATCCGTTACTGGTGAAACTGGTCATTGAATGCCAGCGTTTAAGCCAAATAGTACCGATAGCGTAAATCGCTGTATATAATTCTGCGAATCGTACGTGGCCTTCGCATTTTACGACACAATCTATTGTATTTACAACAAGGAATAATTCCTTTCAATCAGCAGTGATGATAACGAAATTAATCGAGTCACGCGAAACGTGCTACTAGCGTTCGTTTCGCATCCGGTTTTTCCAACTCGATTCGCACAGATCAGATTTTATAATATAATTTTTTTGTAATTTTGCAGAAGCTGAAGTATCCCAAGTCGATATTTTTTATCGTGTCCAATGAATTCTGCGAGAGATTCTCTTTCTATGGAATGCGTAGTATGTAGAAATGCAATAGCGATAAAGTTTTTAGTATTTTTTCCTGTTGGCGCTTAATTTACGTATTAATTGTTTTAGTCGAAAAAGTATTTATACGATCTTATACGTTAGTTCGTGAATATCGTGTAATATTAAACAATTCTTTTATTTAGCTGTACTGACGCTTTATCTAAGGAATCAATTAAACTACGACGATAACGCATCTACCGTCATATATCATGTGTTCACGATGTTCGTATACTTTTTCCCTATATTCGGAGCGATGCTGGCGGATTCCTTAATGGGAAAATTTCACACCATCTTATACTTGAGTATCATTTATGCTCTAGGCCAACTTCTGCTATCTTTAAGCGCTGCGCCCCCATTACATATATCTCCTAGGTAAGATTAATATTTCGTTTTAATGTTTTAACGTCTTAATCTCTATCGTTAATTGTTCCAAACGGTTCAACCGATTAAATCGTTGTCTTTGTCTCGTAGATTATCATCTGTGTTATCTTAATATTCAACGTTTTCTCTGTTTTAAATAAGTAGCGAGTCAATGAAGTACTATATCAAACATCGATCGAGGTCTAATTACGTTTGTCAAACGTGTAACTTTGCAGAGAATTTTCATTGCTTGGCCTACTCCTTATAGCCCTTGGCACAGGCGGTATAAAACCTTGCGTGGCTGCATTCGGCGGCGATCAATTCATACTACCGCTACAGGAGCGATACTTGTCCACATTCTTCTCCCTGTTTTACTTTTCTATCAACTTCGGATCTCTGATCTCGAGCTTCCTCACGCCCGTGCTTCGTAGCGAGGTCACGTGTTTCGGCGAAAATACCTGTTATTCTCTGGCATTTTTTGTGCCAGCCGTTCTTATGACGTTATCCGTCGGTAAGTTCCGAGAACAGTCGTATACGAAAATGTGAACGATCCTAAAACGACGAAACTGTTCGATCATCCCGAATTTTCTGTTTCAGTGATATTCCTTCTTGGGAAACCTTTGTACAGAATAACCAAGCCGACGGGCAACGTCGTTTTGAATGTTTCTAAGTGCGTTTCTGTAAGTTCAATCATGTTTCTATTTAAAACCGACTAATTCAGGCATAATTCAGATTTTCGAATACGTGAGATTCGTGTTTGAAATTTCAGTACGCTGTCTACAAAAAGTTTACGTCAAAGAATGAGAAAAGGGAGAATTGGCTCGAGTATGCGGATGACAAGTACGAGAAATCACTGATAAACGATATTAAAGCAGCTCTGCAGGTGATGAAATTGTTTATCCCGATACCGATATTTTGGGCACTTTTCGATCAGCAAGGCTCTCGATGGACGTTTCAAGCAACCCGAATGACCGGCGAAATCGGAAACTTCCTGCTTCAACCAGATCAGATGCAAGTGTTCAATCCTTTTTTGGTGCTCGCCTTTATACCTTTGTTCGAGACTTGTCTCTATCCTCTTATGAGAAAGATCGGCTTACGAACTCCGCTGAGAATCTTGTCTATCGGCGGTTTCTTAGCTTCTTTGTCGTTCGTAGTAGCGGCCATGGTTGAATTTCAGCTCGAGGTACGTGGTTAAATTAAAAATAAGCAACACGACGTACAATGCCCCATTACGGCATACAAATACGATAGTATCTCTAGTTACGTTCAAATAATTTTACGAGGAATATCTTAATTCACGTTGAACGCTCTCTTTTTACTTTCGTTTTACTTGCAGAAAACGTATCCGGTTTTGCCTTCGAAAAATTTCGCACAATTGCGCCTTTTCAATACTCTGGATTGTCCCGTAACTATAACGACGCATAATCCTGAATTATCTTTTGTCCTCGAAAGTATGGATATGTGGGAAGACAAGTATATCGAAGCGAGTGGCGAAGCAGTATGGCGGTATAGGGCAGATTTTTCAAAATGCAATAGAGCCGATATCACGAGATTCAATGAAACAGCTGGTATATTAAAGTTCTTTCGTATGATTTGTTTAACGATATTTAACGATCGTGTGTATTTTTAGGAACGATCGTGTTACCCGAAGGCAATGCGACTTCTTACGTTGTAACGCAGAGAAATGAACTTTATAGTTACACGGATTCGGTGGATAAATCGACCTCTGGCGAACCTTTGATACGCGGGCTCGTCTACGTAAATTCATCGTGGGACCCTGTCCCTCTGAAATTTATGAAGGGCGACGCAACAGTCTTTGAATTCAAGATAAATGGTACTTCGCTTCAGGAAACCAGGCTAGCTGAACTCAAACCTGACACATACGATATTCATTTGAACGGTACATTAGTAAAGAAAGACGTACGTCTCAAACTTGGTGGAGTTTACACGGTGGTCGGATCTGTTATTGGAGAAAAGTCGATGGCTAACGTTGTAACTGTAACCGAACCAAATTCCATGCATATATTGTGGTTGATTCCTCAATATGTTATTCTCACGATGGGCGAAGTCATGTTCTCGGTGACTGGCTTAGAGTTTGCATTCACGCAAGCCCCTGCCAGTATGAAGTCCCTTTTACAGGCTTCTTGGCTGTTGACAGTAGCTTTTGGCAATCTCATTGTAGTCATTGTGGCGGAAATCTCGATTTTCGATCGTCAGGTAAGTACGAGTTGACGTAATTTTATGTTTAAATGCGCCTATGCATCAGCCCTTGGTAAAAACAAACGTACGTGTACTCGATACTAGAGTTTTTTAAACGATTCAAGGCCAGATCGGCGACAGTCGTGATTACCCAATCGCTTTTGCGTTACGGTCACTACGAATCATGCATTATTCAACGTCCACAACATTAAACTTCTCGAAAAGTTACACTACCTTAACCTCGATACCTACTAAAATTCTTTCCAATATCCAACATAATATTTTCTTCGTTCTTGTTATTTAGGCTTATGAATTCCTTTTGTTCGCGGGATTAATGTTCATCGATATAATTATTTTCGCTGTAATGGCGAAATTTTACAAGTACGTAGACGAAGGCGAAATTACCGAAGAAACCATTCAAATGAGCCAAGAAACTGGAGCGTTTAATGCGTCTTATCATCAAGATGAGAAGTGATCTATCGTTGTGAAACTACGTGTACGCTTTACACTTTACGACTTCTGCGTCTCAAGTACTTGTGAGTAAGTACATATATGTATACACACATGTGCATGTATATGCATGTATGTATGTACTTAACTGCGACGTTTTAGGACAATTACGTTGCGAGTTCAGACTTAACATCGTGAATGTTTTCTTAGTCTCTAAAATCTAAAATATGCATCGATCGCAAGATTTGTACATAATCGCTGCGAACGGCGCGTATCTTTTACGTCGATTTCTACCTTACCTCAAAGGTAAGAGAATGTTTTCCTGAAAAATAGAAAGAAAATTTCAGATCACGAGTTGGCAAATTGTTTCTCATAAAATACGAAAAGTACAACGAATAATTCTTTTGTATCGTTTTCGCGTAAAATAAACTACTTCCACTCGACTAATTCCAATAATTTCTTTACACAAGTGATAGAAAATTATAATTTTTATATTCGTAGAAACGAAATGGAGCTTTATATGACGTAAAAGGTAACGATGTTTTATAAAAGATAGCTATTAATTAGCCGAACGTATTAGCCTATGTCGCTTATAGTATTTATTATACCGCAAAGATTCAAGTCTCAAGTTTCAAGATAGCATAAAAATCTACTGCATACAAATATTCGTATCATATTTTCTGCGTGACTTATTTTCGCGACACTTGTGAAACTTGTACATAAACCTATGAATAAATGTACATATTTTTCTAAACATTCGATTATCCTTTGATAACGATTTATCCGCTACTTTATCCTATTCTCTGAAACAATTCTTTACTCTTCGTAATTTGATATATTGCGTAAATCGTTATTTTTATTTGTTCTGCGCATCGAAGAAAGAATTGGCAATTCCTTATAAAATAAACAATTTATTTAGTAAAATAATAATACATCATTTGTTATTTGTATTTTACACCACCTTTTTAATTAATGGAAGGACAAAAATAATAATGATAACGATATAATATACGAAACATATCGCGAACATGAATCGCAATGTTTTCATTGCATTTCTATGCTACAGCTCACAATACGTACAATCACGCTACAAATCACTATGTAATAGTCTATTTGTACACAGATTGTCCTTTCATAGTGTCCTTTCTATAAAATTTAACGAATTTATATAGTCGACGATGCAGTGCTGTAAAGGCATTGAAAGGCTAACAATAAATTCATGCTGTTGTGTTTTAATTTTCGATCTACGATCGAATGTTATTAAAGGGACGAATCTGTAGGAGATGTTTCGTCTTTCGTTCTATTATATGATACATATACATGTAACGGGGATGTAAATAGTAACTCTGAGTAAAATTACATAGTCGGCGCTAATTACACGTAGTGCTTAAAATTTGCCAAAATAAATAGTCGTTTCTATATCTTGTGTTGGGTACGATAATAGGCTCTTTTATCTTAAAACTGTTTTAAGATTAACAGTATTATAGGTATCATAGAAAAATAAAATACGTATTATCACTGCTTCAAGCCAATAAATTATATATGTATATATATAGAGCGTTGTATAGTAGCCAATATTAAAGGAACAGCTTCTTCGTAACAAATATATAATATATGTACAGAATTTTCATTTAGGTGATATAAATCACAGGAGTAATGCCAAAAGCAACAGCACATGCAAGATGCAAGTTGTTCTATCATTTTCGTCGTTACTTCATACGCGCGCGCACGAAATGTGCTAAACGTTGGTACAACTATGTTAACACAAAGTGTTACGTACTTTTATACGTCGAGTCACGAATTACACGTAAAATAAACTTTCTGTGTACTACGATACACGAAATTCTTTCGATTATTGTGACATTAAATATTTTTTTTGCCTTGAGAAAATATCAAATTTAATGTGATTACACATTATATGTATGTATATATGTATATATGTATATATTTTTACGAACGTCGTAACAACTGAATCCAAAATGTACCATTAACAGCCACGATAATTCCATAAGCCTAAACCGAAATTCTGATTTAGAACGTATATCTACTTTTAAGTTAGTACTAGATACTTTCGAATCATAGAGGAATAATAAATTTCTTCGGTGGACGAACAATAGTTATCGATACGTAGAGAAAGGAAGAGTTGGTGAAAACATGCGATAAACGTTATTACTATATTGAAAAATTATAATCAGGTATAAAGTGATATTAAACGTTATACGTAGTTATAATCTCCAATCCGTACTCTATGTTGCAAGTCTAACGGTGAGTAGAAAAATAATGTCAATCATATGGCTAACCGTACTTGCTATGAAAGTACAAACTATAGTACATCATGGAGTTAAAAAATATGTGTTTTCAAATAAACACGATAGGTTTTAACGACGGTAGAATGTTCATCGTTTCACGTGGTAAACTCTTTCACAAAACGCAAAAATGGTCTCGTGTCAGATCTTTCGCTTAATTTTCTATCTCGACTTCCCGCGTCGTACAAATATTAAAGTTGCGTACATTCGATATATAGATAAATGTTTCCGATATGGTACGTTAACAGTGAGCTAAGCACCAGAAAAAATATTAAAATCAAATATATTCGGAATTTAGTCAAACTATATATGGTCCTCTTCTTTGTTAGTTTTTGCCGGTGTCGCCGGTGTTGGATCGTCGTGGAATAACGGATTCTTTACTTCCATTTCACCAGTCTTAACAAAAACACATTAGTAATGTAACATGTCGTTATACGATTCTGGCGATCTAACTAAGTATAAATGTAACTTACAGAAGCCAGTCCTGGGCATTCGTAAACAGTGTAGTCTCCTTCCTCGTTTTCCTCCTCGCTCTCTGCTTCGGATACAGAGCCTGGGTCTCTGGTTGCAGAAACACGACTACACAAATCATTATCCAAACAATACTCTCTAATTAGAATAAAACTTTTAAAAACCGTTTTGACACTTGCAAAGGTTGGACAAAAATTCTCACTGAGCATTTCCTATACCCATTTTCTTTTAAACATCGCAATAAATCGAAGACACGAAACAAGGATAGTTGTTGCTTCAAATGCGTTATTTAAATGACTTACTTTTCCATAGCGATGATTTGTTGTTTCTGATGTTGGAAGTGATACATCTGGGCAGACTGCGCGAGTCTTTGGTCTCCAGATGGTGATATCTCTTTATTTGGACCAGTTACACCGTAAGCTGGATATTCTATATCAGCAGCCGCTTTAGCACCCCGTTTTAACCTGTTAAAAATCAAACGATAACGTTAAGTAAACCTTTAGAAATCGGTTGTACGATCGTTTATTAACGTGAAATATTATTTATTATATTACCTGCACCATGTCAAAGCGATTAATACGAGAGCAAACATCGCCGCTGCGCTGCAGCCAGCAACGACAGCTAGAAGGAAACGGGGCAAATTTGGCATTTCACATAATTCCAAACGATAAAGAGAATCCATTGACTTACCAATAAAATATATATCGTTATTCAAATCCTGGTTTACAGGTACGAACATCGGGTTGTACTCCATACGTCGTTCCAACTCCGGTATCACGATCACCGACGTATCCTTAAATTTCGACTCCATGTCTCTCGCCTTCTCCTGTTGCATCGTGTGTCCTTTTCCAATCGCTGTATTCTCTCGTTCCCACTTCGTGTTATTTTTCATCGATTGCTCAAAATCCGAGTTATCTTTGTTATCTGTTGATCACAAGGGATATGGCGGATAACAAAGAGAAATAGGAAAATTTGCAAAATATTGTACGCGTATGAAAAGAAATTAGTAAAATATGTATATTTATTAAGTTTGACGTACCTACGAAAAAAGGAGCATCCTGATAATATCTGGGATCATTGGGCTTTACAGCGAACGGTTGTCTATCGTGTAAATTCGAGTCGAAAGTAAAATCCGGAGTGGTCGCTTCCAACTTTTGTATCTGTATATCATTTTTCCCGTACTCGTTAATCGATCCACTACTGTACCTTCCGTGAAATTCCAACGGTTCCTCCTTCATTCCCCTGTCCAAATTGGTCTCGTCGAAAGGCAAATGTTTCGATAGTGGATTCCGATCGTATCCGTAGTCATCGTCTTGAAAATTCCCAACTTCTTCGCCATCCGTTTCACGGGGAAGATAAGGCAACTTAAAGTTTGGATACTCCAAAGGACTTTCGAGCGGGTTTAGCTCGTATAACGAAAAATAATGCTCCCTTTCTCGCGGCAACTCGTGGATCGGCTCGTTGTATCGCGTTTGCCGATAGTTCCATCCTTTTGCTTTCTCCTTTCTTTGAATATCCGCCAAGCTGCCTTTGTTGATCAACGCTTCCAGAATATCCCTCTCCTTTTGACGATCCAAGCCCAAATGATGCTTCTTGTGAGCTTGATTCGCCAACAGTGAGAGAAAATGCGTTCTCTGCCCCTCGAGGTACTTCATCAATTGCCTAAAAGCGATTCCATCTGGAAAAATGATCACCTTATTGTTTCTATCCAATCGTGTAGAAATTCATTTTCCTACGTGCAACTTGTTGCGTCTTAGTTAGTAGGCCTCGGTGTTTGATTTCGCAGCTATTTTTATTATTTGTTAAATGTAATAAACTCAAGCGAAACGACGTTTCAACAAACTATACAACACTCACAGTTATCGGTTTACTTCCTAATGATACCGTAGGAACTTGTACAGGAAGTTTCTGCGGTTAACAGCCACGTCGTTTAACGCACGACGCGACGCGTGCATTGCTGCAACTTTGATAAACGTATTTCTATTCCGTTGGAAACTATGGCACGCGGACCGTATAGTCGTCTACAAGACAAATCCTCTTTGTCGTACATACGTACGTACACCCAAGTACACGTATATCGTCTAACTAGATTTCTTCTTTCTAAAGAAATCATATATTCGACGATGAACGGGTAGATTATTCGATGGAACTGTGTCCCGAAAGAAAAATTAAATCCAAATTAAAGAGGAACGTGCAACAACTGTTTAACGTTGAGGTCGTCCACACGAAAACATATGCAAACTTTGAACGAACCCAAACATTCCTTATAAAACTTGAAATTTAAAACTTTCGCTTCGTTTCGTGAAAAACAGATGAAACATTGACAAGAAATGGGACTAGTGTGGCAGAAAATTGAAAGAAAAAGCAACGCGAAAACTATCGATTGCGTCGTGACGATGACATTCGTGCTATCTTGCAAGGTATCATCTCTTCGGATCATGTTGGAACGTTATCACGAATTCAACGAACCTATAGCAAGACAATAGCGAAAACGTAATAAAAAGAAGCGAAAGATCGTGAACCTTGAATCGAGAGCAATGCTACACCGTGGTGTCATTACCCTCGAAAAGAGCAGTGTTTTCGGGCGAACGGACGATATGCTCACCTCGATAAAAATTCAGTTCACCGGTGGAGAGGGTGACGAGAACGCAGCAGGGTAGCAGTAGCCATGTGCAGGTGCAGAGGGTCGATGTCATCATCACCGTTTCAACTGGCAGGTGTCAGCCAGGTGTGGTATCCACAGGTTTTTATCGTCGTTCCGTCCGTCGTGGTTCCATATGTAAGCACGTCATTTCATTGAGGGCAGACAGAGAGTTTGCGCGGTCAAGTTCCGCTGCAATCAATACCGCTATTACCCTTTCCACCACGATATCGTCGTCGATGAAACCGACACTTGCCCTTCTGCAGACTTGTTTCCGTGTTCGATGCCCCGCGTCTGTAGTTTTACCCTCGAGCTCGGTCCTATTGCAAATACTACCTATATCTGGAAATAACATTTACCACGGTAGCCACCATGAACCTATGTATCGGACATGGCGCGGTGCTCTTAAAATTCCGATCTAATCGAATATTTGAAGAAATTGTAAGTACGATGGCATTTTCGAATTGCCAATGCATCGATATACGTGTTAATTGAAAGTTTTATATTGTTTCTAACGGCCAACGGTTGGAATACTTGTCTTCTTTTAAAGCTTTTAGAGTATTTCAATTGCTTTTTTAAACGATCTATATGTTATGACAACGGTGATCTATATCTTCTATAACAAAAGTAAGATTACTTAATACCTTTATCCGCTTATGCCTCGATACATGCGAAAGGCATTCGAAAAAGTCAATAATATCGACTCGTAAAACACTTTAAAATCTGCGACGAGAAATAAACGACGCTTAAAGTGTAAGAATATGTACTTACGAACAATTGTACTAGAAATGAAATACAATCCTTTAAAAGTAAATCGTTGATCCTTTCGATATTTGATCCCTTTCCTCGTTGTTCGAACGATATTTTCTTTCGTAACGTGATGCGATTAATAATACCTTCAGCACTATAAAAAAAGAAATTCCATCACAATGCCTTGTGAGCGTTTTCATCACTGTACCATCAATGCACTGCTAATCGCAACAACTGTTCAACGGGTATTAACATTATGTCTATGTATATCTGACTCAAATCACACACGATACCAGTCGGCATTTAATACTTCATTTTATTCAGCTCAGCTCTTCGAGCTCGATAGAAGTATTTTGAATTATGCTCGGGTTAATTCGAAGGAAAATAACATTATTATTTTCTATCAAAATAAACGAAAATTAACGTTGAAACGATAAAAAAACGATAATTACGAAGAAGGAGGTAGAAAAGCTTATTTATTAAGAGAAAGAATTCCAATAACTTACTAAAAACATCAAAATACTTTATTTTAATTACAATTTGTAATTGATATTTTGTATGATTAAGAAAAATTCGTGTTTATTCGTGATGTATTTACCGCCACATTTTGAATTTAAGATTCTGACATATTCAGCGAATATCTCGAAACTCTCGAAAAATTGATTCTCGTGAACGAGACTGCGCGGGAATATTCATACACGATATTGCGGCAAGAATACAAGCATAGCTGTGGATGTTGTGTAACAACTTGATAATACACTCGCGAGATTTGTACATTTACCACATATAGTCTAACTCGTAGAGTCATATATACCTGTACTTTAACGATACGAATAAAATTATTATTTTCTTTACATTTACAGGGAGAAATCGATTAATATCCAACTTTTGTAAATCGCTTGTTGTACTTGAGTACGTTTATGTATCAAGATCACAAATTAGGGATTCACCTCTAGAAAATGTGCGTGATGGCTTTTTATCCCCTACGTTTTCCTTTCTCTTCCGGTTGATCACCCCATCCGCTGCATCCATCATCCTCAAGATTTGAGTTTGATCAGAGCAATCAACCGGTGCAACAGATATGTCTCTGACAGCTCTGAACTTGCCGCAATTATTCAGGTGTTCGTTTTCCAAACGGAAAAAATTCCATACAAATCTCCTATTAGGAAGGAGCAGTAATTACTTCGAAATCAACATTGTACGTGTAATCAATCTTTATACGTAACAATTTCGAATGTAATAAAATGATGGATAAATACGAGCTTGAAAGCATAAATTAAACCATTGGTTAACTTAACATGCGAAACATGCAAGTTAGTATACAATATACAAATAAGGAAAAAAGAATTCATTTCATTGATAAATGGAGGCTATACATTGTATATATATATACATATATATATATATACATGAAAATGATTATGTTTACAAATTAAAGTATACAAGAATAAAAGATGCAATTACAAGATGACAATTTCAATTATCACGAAACTCCGTCCTTTCATCATCGTCGCTGTTCGTACGATCCATAAGATGTATAGCAGCCTTCGGTTCATCGTGTTCATTGCGTCTGTAAGGCCCTATGGAGATATCTCGGACAGCTCGAAATTTGCCTACATTGTATAGGTGTTCGTTTTCCAGACGAAAATAATTCCATATGTACCTTCTATCAACTGATTAGTAAGGCGAATTGATACATAATATTTCTTATGGTAAATAAAAACGTTTACGTAGTTACTGATGATAAATCGACAATAATAAAATATTACTTAAACATTTAACGAAGACGGAAGAAAAGATTAATGCGATTAATGAAATACACGATGGAATAAATAAAACAAGGATAAAAATGAAAAATAAACAAAAATTTTATTTTGTTGTTTATTATGATTTATTAGTTGTTTCACTTAGTCAACATCGCTTTATAAATTTTGCGTGACTGAAATATAAAATAATTTTAAATTTCATGCAAACGAAAAATGTCATCAAGCTTGTCTAAAAATGAGACTACGTAACGATGTGCAGTATGAAATAGATCATACATGGATGTACAGCCAAAATCGCAATTTCTAAAAATATACCTATGTTGCTAACGATATCAACTTACTTCTAACTTACCTGAACACTTCCAATGGCGCAATTATAGAAACCATTAAATCTGCATGTACGTATCCCATTTCGGTGAGAGACAACGAAAATGCCCAACCAAAACGGAGTATAAAATCTTCGATTATTGCAAAATAATAATAGTACTACAACATAATATAAATATTACTGCATAGATATAAAATTACTATCTTAATTTATATAAACAATCAATCTTACCGGAGAGGAATAAACAATTTCTTCCCTTAAAAATTTATTTTCTCCTGCATTATTGTCAAACAATCCCCAATCTAATTTTATATCCCATGTGTACGTGAAACAAGAACTCATAATACTTACGATTATCCATAAATAAAAATAGGGATTTTCGGTAGACATCACGTAATACTCTGCAAGGTAGTAATTACTCTGGACGTATTATAATTCTTTCGTTATGTTAACTATTCCTAAAGATACTTACTAGCATTAGTTAAATATAAATAAGAAAATACTACAACGAAGAAACTAGTAGCATATTTCCCAGCATTTACAAGGTGAGGAAAGGCTTCCTTTGTATCTCTATATCGCCGTAGACACTGTGCAAATCGAAACCATGCTGGCAAACAAGCTACAAATAATCTCATTGATAATTCGCGCATTATACAAGTTTCTGCATCTACCAAAAAATACATCAATTAGGTAATTACTAACATCTGTTGAGCTGTAAAATTATAATTTACAATATCTAATTACGAACCAGTGACGTCGGTCCACGAAGAATTTTGCACATAAAAGCAAACGAAATATTGAAAATCTAAGAAAACAGTATTTAGCGAATTAAGTTGATCGGCAAGCCAGAAGTCAGCAAATCCGACATAGAAAAATGGAGCGCAAAATATTCTACCCAAGACACGCAGTGCCCAAAATCTAGCTTCATAACGTAATGTTTTTGTTGGATTGAACAAAAACAAAACCAGTAATATATACAACAACATCTGGAACATAACTTACATATATCTTTTAATAACTTTATATATTACAAAGACTTACAGGCTGAACAAATGGTGGTATTCCTAACGTTTCACTGTATAAAAATCCCAAAATTGATAGAGACCAAACCAATCCAAATACACTAGCCATTTCAATAATGTGCTAAAAATACATTATACATGTCAGTGACTTACATACGTAACATTTACAAAGTATACAACCTGTTCCGATAAGTGATTACGGGGATCCAGTTCAAATATTAAAACGTGATTTACGCCAGAAGATCTCCATCCATATACATTAATTCCCATGAGAAAAAGGAACTGAATCATAAGAAGTGGTCCACGATATAATCTACACAAAACTCGCCAATTATTGTTGTCGCTATAACGTGCACCTATCAAATGATACAAATATTAAAAACTTCTTTATACGTGCATTGCATGTGTTTAGCTACCTGAAAGTACCACTGCTATAAGAAGAACCACAAAGGCCCCTGAAAAAAGTCCCACTTTGAATGTAATCCATGGAGAAAGCTGTTCTCCAAGTGGAGGGACTCTTAAACGTTTCATAGCACGTTGTCTGTCTCCGTGTTCTAAATCTCTGGTAACCAATGCTTCTGTTTCTGCAATAAGTCTGTCTATGTCTTTGTGCGTGTGAAATAACGCTGTATCTACATGCTCTGCTCTCCATTTTGCTCCAAGATCTATATTTAAAAGCTAACGTAACAATTTTCTATTAGTTATTGTAAATACAAACTTTTATATACATTAATTGTTTTTACTCACTTTATCGTGTTTTTTTAATATCTTTCTAAATCCAGTAAAATTAAGATTCTGGTAATTTTGAAGTAAAATGAGAAAAAGATAAAATTCAGAAAAAGCTAATTTCAGTTCTTGAAGTTTTCGTGCTGAGACTGGCTTTTTGTGCAGAATATTGTTACGGTAACGGATTTTACGACTTCCCTGTACCTGCTCAGAAACTGACAGAATTTCACTTAATTCATTGTTGAGGGTTGCAAATCTACGTGTTGCTTCTGCTAATTTTTCTAATGAAATAGACAAATAATTAATATACTTTTTAATTAATATTGTAAGTAAATTAAATAATTATTGTAAGATGAAAAATTTACCTGAATAAAACGTATTTATCTTTGCCAATTCCTTATCACAATAGTGAAAAAATTGTTCGTCAAATTTGCTAAAATAACGTTCTAATATGTGGGATTCCGTTATATCTGCAGCTGGCGCTTGTTCTACCGCAGCATAGAGCAATGCTTTCATTTCCTATAAAATAGTATTTTTATTTTAATATACATTTCTTAAAACGTTTGATCATTAATTACAAACTTGTAAAGTTGACATTAGATCGAAAATAAATATTTCTAATTCTTTTACCTCGTAATTTATATATTGTTTTCTCCATTCTGGTGTAATATGAGCACTTAAGTGCTCTGTGAATTTCATTTTTTTATGAATTAATTAATTCGACAACTGTAGTGTTCGAATTTCAACGACTGTACCAGTACACATATATCACGATTAATTGTATATGAAGGAGATTCATAAATTATCTTAGAAAAAACATGTTAAGCATACGATAGATACCTTTACACAGAATTTCTTTGAGGTTATAGAATATACATATACTGCATTATATTATAATAATATTATTATATTTTGTACGCCTCATCGAATTCTGAACATTCATATTGTTGTTTTAATTAATGGCATTAAAGTTAGTACGTCCTTATATTATAAATGTTAATATTTTATATACAGTTCTTTAACTGATAAAAAACCAAAATTAAGAAATAAGATTATCATCATGTCAACAAGACTAGCTTTTTCGGGATATAAACAAATGCGATGGGTAATTAAGAACATTTATATTAATAGATTGTTCTTATAGGAATAATCATAGCTTATTATTTTCTATTACTAAGTAATATAAGTTTATGCCTTATTTTTTTATTTTATATTAATTATCATTTTATATTACTAAGTATATATATGAAAGCACAAATTTAGACATTGCTTTCGTTTTATTAGTTCTCAACAAAACAAAGAATGAAAGTTATAGATGCTGTGAATGAATTAATTTCAAATGATAGACTTAAACATAAACAACATCCAGGTATATTAAAACCTAGACAAGTAGAGCAACCAAGTTGGCTTGCAGATGCAGTTCGAGACATTCTATATGGTAACAAGCTTAAAAAAATATGTTGTATATCATTAATATGAGATTTCATGATTATTATGTTTAAATATTTCAAGTATTAAGTTTATATTTTTACAGATAGAACCATTTCATTACAAGGCATATGTGCAAGCAGTCAAAAATTAGCAGCACATCTATATAATCGACAGCCTCCACCAGAAAAGAAAGATGTTCGTTTGAAAATGAAAGAAGTTCAGTCAAGACTTAACCAACATGAAATGCAAGATTTAAATAACGATGATAAATTTGAAAACTCAGAAGCTAAAAGGCTTCTTAAAAGTGTTCTTTATAATTGGGCACCAATTCATTATGATACCTACACAAGCTTATCATATTTAGTTAATAGAAGTATGCCTGAATATTCTGTTTTGTATAAAATTTTCAACGAAATTGTTGATAACGATAAAAATTTCACGCCAAAGACATTATTTGATTTTGGTTCGGGTACTGGAACAGTTATGTGGTAAGATATAATATACATAAAAATTATTTTTCTTTCTTCTAAAGGTATTGAAGTAAAAATATTAGGGGAATATAAATCTAATTTCACTAGGGCAGCCTCAAAATTCTGGGTTGATTCTATCAAGGAGTATTATTGTGTTGATATTTCTAAAGATATGCATGAATTATCTGAATACCTTATGAAAAGAGCTATACCACAAGTTAAACCAATGCATATTTTCTATCGACAATTTTTTCCTGCGTCTCCAATTGTAAGAATATAACTTATATCGTATTAAAGTATCTAAAACAGATGTCTTTAAAGATGTTGTTTCTATTGTAGCCAACTTACGATATTGTAGTGAGTGCTTACTCTTTATTGGAATTACCACATCAAATGTCTCGTCTTGAAACAATTTCAAAATTATGGCGTAAAACAGAACAATATTTGATTATTATAGAACAAGGAACGAATGTTGGATTCAGAGTAAGCTATACACGCTCTATAGCACACTCTTAAAAATTGATTTTTATTGTATTTTAAATAATGATATTTAATATATTGATTAATTAATTGATTTTAAATGATGTATTTATAACTAATCACTTTATTTTAAATAGCTAGTTAACGAAGCACGAGAATTTATACTGAATTCTAAAAAAGCCCATGGTGCTCATGTATTTTCACCTGTAAGTGTTAATATAATCATCATCTTATGGTAGACATTAATTTAATATATAATATTAACATTTTAGTGCCCTCACGATACAGTGTGTCCTAGATATACGACAGATAACACTCCTTGTAATTTTGAAATTACTTATCTAACATTACCTATTGGTGGAAACTCAATGTATAAACGTGAACGTTACTCGTATGTGGTACTCAAAAAAGGTAGCACGATATTACATAGTAATGTCAGTTATATGTAATGAAAATAATCTAGGAACAATAAATAAATTTCCCAATATATATTTCTTTTTTAAAAATGTATAATCTTTTAGGTAACCGTCCCGAAAATGATTGTAAATGGCCTCGAATTGTCAGAGAAGTATTGAAACGTTCCAAACATGTTATATGCCGTATGTGTACATCTTCGGGAAAATTAGAAGAACAAATTTTTACCACATGGAAAGATGGAAAGTGTGTATTATCTAAGTTTTAAAAAATGTATTATAAAAGAATTTCAGTGACGTTAATGTAATATTTTGCATTTTTAGAAATGCATATCGTTGTGCAAGGAGTAGCGAATGGGGTGATCGTCTACCTTTTGAATTCGTAGAAGTAGAGGAAGAAGAAAAGGTAGAGGAAGAAGAAAAAGTAAAGGAAGAAGAAAAAGTAGAGCAAGAAGAAGGAATAGAAAAAGAGAAAGAACATATATAAAATAATTTATGTGTAATTTAGTCACTGCACAATAAAAAATATTTTATTATATTTATGTTTGACTGTGTTCGCAGGGAGACACGTCTGCGGTATGACTCGTCAACGAGGATCATAAATTCTCGTCTTGATTAGTATCGACACTACGAATAAGCCGATTCCTTACTTCGATTACAATTATAGGAATATTTAGATGGAATCTGACACAGGATTTTAAAGTTTAAATATAATTGTATATTTCACAGAGAACACCTTCGGAGACTGAATGTGCGAATGAATGTTCGTTCAATGTATACGGAACGGTACTGTTTTATTGCGTACCTTGCGCGGAAAGCTGAGTGTAAGTGATATATGTGGAAAAGATGAAAACTTGAGATGGACGAGCCTAGAACATGGGACAAGCGGATTAGTCAATTAAAAATTTCGGTGAAGAAGTAAGGGTAACGGTCATCGCTGTTAATTGGTTGGAAGAACTGATAAGAAAAGAAGAGAACTGACCGCCCCAAACTGAAGCCCCCAAACGTAGATACGGAGCGTACCCTCGAGTGACGCGGAAATCACGCGTGTCCCAACATTTAATCGTTAGTTACAGTTATTAAAACCGGGGAGCGCCTCGATAATGCATCGTAAAAATAAGGGATTCGACGGCAAACATTAAACCTTATTTCAGGCAGATTTTAGGTAGAACAGGCAGAATTAGTGGTAATAAAGACTAATTTTTAGCACGGCGGTAACAATTTTTTGGGGATTATTGCTGGTCCGAGTGAATATGTTAAGGGAAACATAGACGGAGAAATAAGACTGGAGAAGATACATGGCATCTTTAGAAAATTAGAAACGGTTATTCTCGAACGGTGTTGTGACTGAAGAAATGGCCGAGTGTTTAATGACTGGATCGTGGTACGGAACAATTTATTTGATCTTTTCAGTTTCATGCTCGATGCTCCTTTTATTTATTGCAATAAAATTTACTTCTAAAAAAAAATATTCCGATAAGATTAGTTAATTTATTTATTTATAAATCGCGGGCACAAGCTCTATATTTGTACAATGAAGAGAAGTATTAGTAATAAAGAATGACAGATATACGACAAAGAAAACAAATAAAAGAAATATAAATATATAAGAAAAAAGACGAACAAAGCAAGTTATACTATAGTAACACGTTAAGAGTCAAATAATTGCAACGCTGATCGCCTGAACTTATAGTAAGATCTAGAGAAGATATCGACTCGTTCAAAAATACTTCAATACCTGCATAGTTCGGGAACTCTGAGATCGTTGGAAAAAAGGAGTCAACTCGGAAGACCGCGGTATAAAGAACAAGCATTGGAATTACTAAGTGGAAGTAACTGAAGGACTGTCAATGTAATTATTAATGATTTTAAATAAAAAGAAAACAAAAATGCCAGCAACTTCCGCTTCTTCAGTGTGCTTCTAAAAATTAATTTTATTATTTACAGCTAGATATCGTTAATATGTATAACTTTCACTAATATTAATAAATTATTCTACTCATGATGCGCGTATAATGGTTGAGCTGTATTTAAATTGTATAAGATTGCTTTTAAATACCCCTCTTCGTATCTCCTCTTCGGTCTTTCATTTTGCGGACAGAAGATAACCGTATTAAGCTGTATCATAAAACTGTTATTCAACAAGTTTTAACCGAAGATACAACTTAAGGCTGTTATCTTCTGTACGCAAAATGAAAAATCGTTGGATACGAAGAGGGGTATTTAAAAGCCGTTTGCAGGCTGGACCACGGCCAGTTTTGCGTGCACAACAGAACAGCAAATTTCTCCAGATGTAAGGTAAGATTGATTTAAGGATACGGATAGATGTATCAGACAGATTATCGCTTTAGTAATTTTTAATAATCCAAATTCAATGTAAAAATTGTTTCTATATCGATTTGCATTTTATCTAACTTTAAAACAAATTTTCTAAATTAGTCGTTGATAAATTATTGCGCTAATATTTGAACGCTATAAATTTATTATTCATAGGTTTTGATTGTATTTTTTTGATTCATTCGCAAAATATTATTTATGAAGAAAATACAAGACACAAGAAAATATGTCGAAAAGGGAGACAGTTGTATAGGAAACTTTAGAAAATAGTTTACAATAATGAAAATTTAATTGTCGTATGATTCACGAAATACTTAAATAGTGAAGATAAAAAGGCTGTTTTAATAAGAGAGGAAGAGGACAAAAAGTACAACTGATCGCGATAATATTGTTGATAGTATTGTGTATCGTAGACATGGGATCAGTGATCGAAGATGCAATTGGAATATATCGAAAAAGATGACACGTTTGGAAAAAGAATAAAAAACGCTTAAGCGTATACACCGATTACGCAAAGAGTTATGAAATAATGAAAGTGAGAGCATGTTTCGGCCCTTCCGTGTAACTTTCTCTCACGAGTCCGCGTGTATGTGCACTTTCTTCCTCAAAAGCGCGGCGCAAACCCACGTTTCAAAATAGTCGAAAACGGCAATCGAGGTGAGAGTCGAATTCCGCATCTCGTTTAATCACTTTCCCTTACCGAAACTGTTGCAAGCGTGTATTTCTAAAAGTTTTTTTTATGAGGACGTATCGATATGAAAGATTATATTCCGCTTAAGATACTATATAATCGATATAGTATATCCAGTCTAGAATTTATTCATGCAATACTCTGGTCTTTCGGGTTGATTTCTTTTTGTTCTCGAGTGATCTTAGATTTTGTTGCCCCGTTACTAGAATAGGCAACTTACTACGCAAATAATATCTCCGAAGGAGCTGGTTTCACAAGTTAAGGCAATCAGCGTTGTTCTTATAACGTAACTTCCTTTGCCCGTCTTTTCTTCTACATCTTTTCTCTCATATATTTATATTCCTTTTTCATCTTTACTTCCTTTGTTGTACATTCATTATTCATTATTCCAACTACTTTTCTTCCTCGTGCCGTAGGGTTTGGGCTTTTCTTAGGCTTGGGGTAGGGATTTTCTAAATAAATGAACAAATACATTCGCGTTAAAATATCGAGTACCGTGTAAAGTAAACTTATAACGGTATTTATTGTGTTCGCAGTATGTTTTCCACGGTGGTGTTATGTATAATACTACTCTTACTGCTACTATATCTAGGATCGCGGAAACCGAAAGGATACCCACCAGGTGCTGTTATATTCTCTAGCTTATATTTCCCTTAATTTATACATTTTTAACTTCCTCCCCCTTCCCCCAAACCGATTACCAATTAGTAAAAAGAGAAATGGAATAAAAAAATTATTTTTAACAATTTGATAAATATTAAGAAAAACGCGGTCGGTGTATGTCTAATTTTTGAGGATTTTAGGTCCAAAATGGTGGCCAATTTTGGGCTGCGCCATCGAACTGACTCGTCTTCGCAAGAAAACTGGTTACATGTTCAAGACCTGTTTCACTTTATGTAAGAAATATGGGCCGGTGGTCGGTCTGAAAGTCGGCGTGGACCGTATCGTCATACTAAATGATTATGAGAGCATTCGGACAATGTTCGCTAATGAAGATTGCGATGGAAGACCGCTTGGTCTACTTTACGATGTGCGAACTTCCGGTTGTAGGAGAGGTAACTTCATCAGCATCAACTTTTTCTTTAGTTATCTAATTAAAGATTCATTTTAAACGTTTAATCTTATTCGATCCGTTTTTTTTATTTATCTTTTATTCATGAATTTGGATCTTTTCGATTCAAGGATTAATTCTCGTGGATGGAAATTTGTGGATCGAGCAAAGAAGATTCGTGTTGAAACATCTCCGTGACCTCGGCTTCGGTCGGCAAGACATGGCTGTAATAATACAAGAAGAGTGCCGATCGCTCGTTGAACACATCAAAAAGTTAATCAACGACGAACATAATAATCGAATTAACGAATCTAAAATGTATTGCAACAATAACGAGTATGACAATGGACAGATATATCGATTAATTGAAAAAGATAAGGCGAACGAGTCAGAATTAATGGAGAAGCATAGAACGAGTGAAAAGCAAGTAAAAGCCTCGGATTTGTACGTAAATGCTTACGAATACGTGGAAACCAAGATGGCTCAATCCCATCCTGGAACGATAATTCCAATGACCGACGTGTTTGGAATTACAGTACTCAATACTTTGTGGAGAATGATAGCTGGTAAAAGGTTGTTCATTCTCTGTTACTTCCACGTATTATCTTATTTGATAGTTGAAATATCGATCTGGTCTCATTGAAAGATCAAACAGTTTTTCAATAACAAAATTTATATTCGAGATATCTAATTCAGGTTTAATATCGGTGACGAGGAGCTAACTTATTTCCAACGGATCCTGACACAGGCTTTAACGAAAATCGATATGTTAGGAGCACCGTTTGGTCATTTTCCGCTACTGAGATTTATCGCGCCAGAAATGTCCGGTTACAAATCGTTCGTGGAGGTTCATCGACAACTTTGGGAGTACTTGAAGGTAAACAAAATACCATTTGAATATCGAGTGTCAATTATAGGAGAAGCTAAGTAATATAATTATAGGATGAACTGGATACTCATAAGAACGACTTTGCACCAGACTCGCCGCGAGATTTAATGGACGTATATCTAACTGTTTTGAACTCTAAAAATTATAACAACACGTTTTCAGGTATTTGAATATTAGATATACGCCTTAAGAGTAATATTTCATTTAAATCGATTGTAATTATACCGAATTATGTTTCAGAATCTCAATTGCTTGCCATTTGTATGGATTTATTTACAGCAGGTTCAGAAACTACGTCCAAAGGTCTTTGCTTTTGTTTTTTATATTTAGTGCTATTCCCGAAAGTACAGAAAAAGGCACACGAAGAAATAGATAGAGTAATTGGACGTAACAGACTTCCAACTCTAGAAGATCGGACGAGGTGATTCAGAAAGACAAAATTTGACAAAAATTCGATTCTAAGATTGCTATTAGAAAATTTAATATTTTTTATTGATCGTCTGTATAAAATGTAATTAATTATCTCACTTTAGAATGACATATATGAACGCCATCGTCTTGGAATCATTGAGATTCTTCGCAGGACGAACGTTAAATGTCCCACATAGAGCACAAAGAGATACTACGATATTGGGTCATACGATACCAAAAGTAAGTATCTGATGCGACGAAGGGTATCGAGTACGAAGCAATTAAAATCTTTAAGCAAATAATATAGCTAACGCTATTTTAGAATACGATGCTTTTGGTAAATTTCAATAGAGTATTAATGGATGAATCATGGGGCGATCCCGAAAACTTCCGACCAGAAAGATTTATAGACGAAAGTGGTAATATCATTACGCCACCCACGTACTTGCCATTTGGCTTGGGTACGTATTTCAACATTAAGAGACGTAATCATTTTCTTTTTTTTTAATAATCATACGTTTAACACTGTTATTTTTTTACAATAGGCAGACGTCGTTGTATGGGGGAGAATTTAGCTAGAAGCAATACATTTATTATAGCTACTACTCTGTTACAAGCATTCACATTTTCCACAGTACCTGGAGAAGAACCATCGACAGAAGATTTTGTCGATGGAGTCACCATTAGTCCTAAACCATTCAGGGTAATGGTTTCTTTAAGGACGTAATTAAGTACGAAAGCGTTTAAAATAATTTCACTCAAAAGTAATGGCAATTTTTAATCGACTTAATCCTTATACGGTTTAATTGATATCAAAAGATTATAATGAAAATAATATCTTTGTTAATCTAAACTTATAATGCAGTATATGTAGCAAATAGCGTACAGTAATTACAATAGTCCTAAGTAAGCGTATATTTTAATGTTCAAAAAAATATATTTTATTTTATATGAAAATACATGTGTGTGTGTATATTTATGTATGTATGTATATATATATATATTTTTTTTTTATAATAATATATATTTATATAAGAAGCTATACGAAATAAATAATACATATACGAGAACCATACAAACTTCAAATCACCGTTCACTTTTTAATATATAACAAGTATTCGAATCTCTAGACATTAATAATATTTCTTTAATAATATATTACAGAAAGAATATAAATTGCACATAATTACACATATTACAAATGTATATTTGTTCAACGGTTTTTCCTTGTTTTACGAAAAGATAAATCACTTGTTTGTTCCACTGACCTTAACATTTCTTAAAATAGTCTGGCACTTATTTTTATCGCGATGTTAAGTATATGACATTCCTATTCGCATTAATAGTATTGTGCGAGAGATTCAAGTCACAGAAACTTCCTTGCTCACATACTAGAAATACCTACATAAAATTATAAGTGGTGTTTCGATCTTTGATAAATGAAATAACATATTGACTACGCAGGTACTGTTTCGATTAGAGAATTGGTAAAATTGGTCAAAAATTTCGCAAGTTGCTCGAAAACGTATCTCAGAAAAAGAATTAAATATTTTTGCTAATAAAGGACTTATATTTATATCGTCCCGTTATACGTAATGATGATTCATCTTTTAAAAATAAAATTTTGTTAAACTCACTTTCTAAATTAAAATCAGATCTACTAAAATATCGTATAAGCTATCTCTCATGGTGGACGGTGGAAAATAATCTTTAATCTATAATCTATCAAGATATCATGACACGAAAATAAAATTAAAAATAATTTAATAATTAACTTATATTATCCCTGTAAATGATGCCGAAAAAATTTTCGAAATATTTTTTCCGAAGGTCAACTAGGATGATCTTCGACTATATGAATCTGTTAATATAAAAAATGAAAAATAAATGTGAAAATCTGTGTAAATTTTACTTATATAACATTTATAAATATAACGACATTCTTTACTGACAAATATTACCTCAGATAAGATAGCCCAATTTTCACTTTCGCTGTGTACTGTCAAACGAAGTATCAATATTTTCCCTAATTTTGGATCTACCGTTCCTTGAGCAATCCCAAGTGCATCGAACTTTCCTAATTATAAACAACATTATATATATATATATATTATTAATTACATATGCCTATTCATATAATATTGTACAATACCTATAATAACATAACCATCCTCGGTAATGTCATTACTGTTTCTATTCATGGATGCAGATATCTTTGTAAAGACCTCTACTGTAGTGTTATAAAATCTATCAGATGGATGCTCAGGATTTCCACTTCTAAATAAGTACCTGCATTACAAAAGTTAACGTCATAATTACTTGTTGCATAAAATATGATACGTGTTTAAAATACCTTTTTATAAAAATAGGATGGGAGAATTTGAATTTTAAATGGTCTCCAGGTTGCGGCAAAAGACCCCAAAAGAATGATTCACCTTTATAGGCCTTTTGTAATGTATATTGTTTGTAAGGTTTAATTTGTGTTTCTACTATCGCTTCTGGATTTTCGTGCGCATAATATAATGTTATTTTTCCAAATTGTTTATCCTAAACATAACATTTATAATAACTATAGAATATGGAAAGAAAAACAGAAATACCATATGTGTAATTGTTTTCCTTTTAATATATGTACCTTCAATTTCTGTACTTTCCCTTTCAGCGAGGAGTGCGTTCCTATATGTTGAAAAAGCGAAGGTTTGTAGTGAACCCATAATTCTGCTTTAGCCATTTTACAATGTTTCTAAAATATACAAAACATTGATTAACATAAATACGTTACATACGAACATAAGTGTCTTTAAAATATATTTTTTCCTAATTCGCTATTAAGTGTATACACTTACACTATCTTTGTCAAGACTACAAACTTTAGTTGATACCAAATGATCTAATAACCAGTCGACTGGTTTATCGTTATGAAACATTAAAAAAAATTGTATCAACCATGGCAGTTCTGCACATTTAAATAACTTTCCTGATAAAAAATTATGAATATAAAACAAAGCAATTAATTTTAGCAATTAACATATCGATATCAATATAACATACCAATAAATCCTAATTGACAAAAGTCCAAAACAAACCAATTTTCTTTAGTTGCTATCTTTTGTAGTGCAAAAGATTTCATTGTTGTTATAAAATTCTTTTTAGCTAAAATATCATCTTCCAGTTGTACGTAAAATGTTCCTTTTGTCTGAGCGTATGACATAAGAAATGCAAAATCTAAATTTTGCTTTGACCTCCAAACAACTCTTTGGTGGTCATCGCCTAAAGTATCATGCAATTTGGATAAATCTGGGTAATAAGATGCAGATGGAGATATTACATCGATTACACCAGCTTCAAATTCAGTTGGGAACCTGAGATATAAACAAATAAATTAAATATATTAAGAAATGGATAGCATCAAACACTGCTATTTTTTACATATAACTTACTGAACTTCAATTTGTTTTGCAACATATGTTACATATTCCAAATCTGTCTGTAAAAATATATATGAATGATACATAGATAAAAATAGCTATAGCGCAACTTTGTTATTATCTTACAAACACTTACTTCTGCAATTAACACGATGATTAAAGTATCTGCTGTCTCCACAGAATTCATGCGATCTAGTAAATTTTTAAGTGTTGCCATTAAATAACTTTGTACTTCTCTTTTAACTGTTGGTACACCAAGTACCATGCTGACTCCAGTGCGACCTTTACTCTGTACAAATGCTGGACGTAGACTAGTAGGATCATTCAAAAAATGAGGAAGAAAATTATATATAGATGGCAATTTTATGTTGGTCACATTTGATGTGGTATTGTTAAGTAAAAATTGAAGATCTGGCAAAATGTGATTGTTCTCTATTAATTGCAATAACTGATGTGACAATAAATTTATCTCTTCTTGACTTGTAATATATTTAGCATGTAAATGTTCCAATTTAGCTTGTAATTCTGCGATACTATTTTGCAAGACTGTTTCTTCATGCAACTCTGATGGTGATAAAAGGTTTAGAATGGCGCATGGTATTAATACTATTGAGAGTATGATCAAACATCGTCTTCTTATGGGTGTCAGAGCTACAAAATGAGGCGTCATCTTCTTGATACTAAATTCTACATGGTTATAGTCATTATCTTGTGGAATAAAAACAAATCCTCAATGATATCACATTATAAGTTCACACCATGGGAAACCTAAAATATATTGATATATGTAAATGCATTGTAATTAAACAACATGAAAACTGAAAAAATAGAAAATCATGAAAATCTAAATGACATTAGAAATGAAAGATTAAAGTAACATCAAATTTCAGATAACACAAAAGATCAGATAATAAATTAAAAATTATATATTTATTATTATCTATAAAAATTATGTATGAAATATGCAAAAGGTAAACAAATTGTTTACAGATATACGATCATTTCCAAAATTGTACATTGAAAAGGAAAGCATCATCTGCACCAAAAACAGGAAAGAAAAGATCATGACAGGAATATATCTACTATGCTTTTAGTGTTTTGTTTTCCGAAGATTAGTATTTACCATGAAACATCATATAGTCTTGAATTCTTCGGATAATGACAAAGCAAAACTTATGAGACTTACTAGATTTAACGAATATCATTATCGATTATAAAGTGTATTTTAAACCGGTAGTTTTCTTCGATGAAAACCAGTATTATTTTCTTTTAATCGACAGTAGCATTTTGTTAATAACCTGTAAACTTGACTTTTTCTAAATATTATACTTTATTTGATCAGAGATTTGATTATATTGTGCTATTTTCAATTAATGTCCAATATAATCTCGATAAAGACAATTTTCTTACTCGAAATTGCTCAGGGAAAAAAATTTTGGTCGATCGTTTCAATTCGTTCTGATTCATTTTATCACTAACGCGACATTCGATTTTTTCATTCTCTTTCTAATGTATATCACGTATTTTTATATAAAAATCGTATAAATTATATATTATGGCAAATTATAGCATAACCTATTTTACTACAACAATATAAATTGGAGAGTAGCTGCACCAATAGTAGTGATACTTGTAAATTTTTAATAAAATGATAAAACGACTAAAAATGTAAATTAAAATGTACTCTTTTTACAGCATACTTTTCAATTGATTGGGAAAACAAACTTGTTTATAATTTTAGAAAACAATACATGAATAATTTTAAATACACTACAGAACATTTAATCGAAAATTGTATTCAAATTTGAAATAATTCATTTCGATACAAATTATCTATAAAATAATATAGATATATAGATATTCAAGTTACATAGATACTCAATTTGAATCGTAAGTTTACATCGTGCGCATGAAGTCTAGTTTGCATGATTATCGGTTGATGAAAAGAGGGTGGAATATGAGAATATAAGGCACGGGTGATATAAGACGGCAATCGAGCGCTACAAGCGGCAGAAGTGTTTCATATTGTTGATAAATTTCATTTACTTTCTTTCGTTCGTCCAAATAATTTGACAGGAGAAATATAATCGCTGTTCTGCGTTTCGTTAATGTATCTGACAATAACAATTGTTCTACAAAATGTTAAGTAAAATAGTTAATATGACATACTATCGATTCATAGTCTGATTGGTTAAGCCAGTGTTCAATGCAAGTATGGCCGCCCTGCCATCACCCACGCAGGTATATTATAATTTTTATAATTTTATCAGGCTATAATATTCAATATACTAGATCTATTATTAATTAGATTCTTTGAAAGATTCATCTTTCTTCCGTGTAAAGGGATACCACCTTTTGCCATACACATTATAAATACAACCATACTTGTGTCGTCAGTTACTTAAACTTCTTTGACAGTACATACAAATAATCTTTCGATAAATCTACATTAAATACATTATCTCCTCTATGTACTTCTTGATAAACTTCTTGATAAAATAGTTATAACTTACATATCATAAAACTTAAT